CTCCAACTTTCCATCTTCCCTCCAACATTCCCCTCTACCCTACTTCCCCTCCCCCTCTACCACTCATCATTGAAAATTCTTGTTCACATTCGCCCCAATCGGATAAGCTTGTTTTGGGGGAAAAAAATAATTCTGTAATTGCTTCTTCTGGGAACAGATAGTTCCTAATAACACACAACTGATATTGTTGTTTCAATATCTTGATGCAGTTCGTCAAAAATGTCTCTGAAAGCTATTATAAATTGTGTATCTTGTTATCTCCAATATCAGAAATGATTTTCCTTTCCCACAAAATGCAGTTATTCCTTAAAATTAATTACAAAGTGTTAATAATCAAAATCAAATATTCCAATGTTTTGTAAGCCCTTAAACCATTTAAAACTATCTGCAGAAAATCCTCGACTTACAACAGTTCATTTAGTGATCATTCAAAGTTACAATGGCACTGGGGGAAAAAAGGGACTTATGGCCATTTTTCAGTTACAACCTTTCTAGTGTCCCCATGATCACCCGATCAAAATTCAGATGCTTGGCAACCTGTTCCTATTTATGACCATTGCTGTGTCCCGGGGTCACATGATCCCCTTTTGTGACCTTCTCACAAGCAAAGTAAATGAAGCCAGATTCACTTAACAACTGGTTTATTGACTTGTCAACTTAAGTGATTCACTTAACAACTGAGGCAAGAAAGGTCATAACATGGGGCAAAATTCACTTAACAAATGTCTCACTTAAAAACAGAAATTTTGGACTCAATTTTGACTGTAAGTCAAGGACTGCTTGCACAGCCAAAACCTTGTCTTGCTTTTTACTATTTATTTTAAATGTTTAAACCTTATAAAGATACAAGTAGCCTTCGTTTATAACAGGCTGCTTTGCAGCTCATAAAGCACTTCCAGCATCATAAAACATTGTGTTGCCCCTCCCCATGGTCATTTGACAACCAGCTTCCATTTATACCAGTCTCACAGTTACATGAATGCAATTTGCAATGTTTTTGCTGGTTTCCAGCAGAAAACATCATTCAGGAGAATGGATTCACTTAATGATTAAGTAATTTGCTTAATGACTATGTGGTTACCAAAGGAAGTGATAATTTAGTGTCCTTTGAAGGTTCTGACTACAGCTGGAGCAAATATGACACATTCCCTTATCTTCCAGTTTTTCCACCTTCTAGAGCCATGAGAGAGAACCTATGACACCTGTGCCATAGGTGGCATGCGGAACCCTCTCTGCAGGCACACGAGCCGTTGCCCAGTGCAGCTCTTCCATGCATGCATGTGTACCTCCCATTGGCCAGCTGATTTTCGGGACTGCCGTGCACGCGGGAAATGCACGTGCCTGCATGGGGGTCACATGTGCATGCATGGGGGTGGGGGGAGGTGCACCCCCATGCTCCACCTTTGGCTTCAGGGAGGGCCTCCGGAAGCAGGGGAAGGCTGTTTTCACCCTCCCAGAGGCTTGAGGAGAACCTCTGGGGCCTGGGGATGGCGAAAAACAGGACTTCAGGAAGTTCTGGAAGTCCAGAAATGGGCATGTTTCTGGTCTCCGGAGGACCTCCAGAGCCCGGGGGAGGCTGTTTTCACCCTCCTGGAAACTTGTGGAAAGCCTCTGGAGGCTGGGGAGGGTGAAAAATGGGACTTCTGGAAGTTCAGAAATGGGCTCTAGAGGGCTTCCAGAGCCCAAGGCAGACCGTTTTCGCCCTCCTGGAAACTTGTGGAAAGGCTTCAGAGCTTAGGGAGGGCAAAAACTCCCCCCTCACGGGGGGGGGGGTGTTATTGCGCACACATGTGCAGGTGGACAGGGTGCATTACATTGTGGGTGTGGGCACGCACATACACACTTTTGTACGCAGGTGCACAATTTCGGCATGCAAGGACAAAAAGGTTCGCCATCAGTGCTCTAGAGACTGCCATCTTGCAGTCTCCTTTTAAGAAGCAACAACCTGGCTATCTCACATCCTCTCTTTCTCCAGAGACCATCAAAAGAGTTGATCCACTCATTAACTCATTGTTTTTAGGTGCAACTGTCAACTCTGCATAAAGCCACATAAAGCTGCATAAAATCTTCAGTCTGCCATATTCCTGAGGAAGTTCCCATGGGTAGGCATTATTTCATTATTATTATTGTCTCATACTGAGCTCCTGATTGTCCACTTTTGAGCGGGAGCTATCTGAAACTGGATTGGTCGGCTGTTTGACAAAAGGATAAAGGAGCTGTCAGATGGAAACAGCCTGTCAGTTGTTGCCGATACGTTTAGCGTTCAGTTTGTTAGAAATAAATGGTTAGCTTGTTAAGCCTCTGCCTCGCCTCAGTCATTGCTCGATTTACCCCAATATTCTCGGCATTGAACAATTATTTTTAGGCTCCATGAGCCACAGGGATGACTTTATTAGAGTGGAAAAGAATAGTATTTTCAGCTTTTTTCCCCAAAGCTGAAGAGTTGGGGGATGGCTGTTATAACATGTATTTAACTCTTTAAAGGGGGATATGGGTTAAACAACTGTTATTTCACTTAAATTTTAATGGTAGAATTTTGAATGTTCAAGGCGACTGGGAAAATAATCCAGGATCATGTTCAGTTTAAAGACTGCAACTTACTCAACGCTGTGCCATAACTTCCAGGATTCCTGATACTGACATTCCAAAAAGTTTTAGCCATTAAGAGGTAAATGATACATGCTGGATGAAGGTTTAGATCCAGCATCCAAAAATTGTTTTAAAGAGTGTAGGAGCAAGAAGATAGCATCTGAAAAAGTAGATTTTTTTCTGGATTGAAAATATGCAGCTGGTTTAAGGTTGGATCAACACACCTTAACCATTATACAACAATGGCTCTACTGGTGAGTTTTAATGCATAAAAATAATAGGGAATGAAATCAAATGCATCTTCTAAGGATACCAGGACAGAGAATACTAATTTGGATTTGTGGTGGAAAAGGTTTTTTGTATTATGGAGTCATTATCATATCAGATTTTATGGTCACCAGAGGTGACTTTAAAATAAAGGCAGATGGTAGTTGTGACAATCCAGAAATCTCCATAGCCATATATCAGTAAAAGCTTATCTATTCATTACCATTACAGTAAGTGTTGTTGCCATTGTGCAATGTTTACTGAAAGGTGCAGTGTTTCACAAGGTAAGAAATTTTTAGGAGGGAAATCCTGGGAGTTGAAGTCTACACATCTTCAACATTGAGAAACACTGTCCCAGTGTCTCTATTTCTATTACATTTATAAGTGCTCGGAACAGCAGATGAGGCAAAAAAGAGTAGGATATACAGAACACTACCTTTTACTTCATTATATTTACACCAATTAACTGTTAAAGCTGATTAAGAATGGAACAGCTATTTAGCAAATGAAATTGATGTCCATTTAGATCACACAGAGCAGGTGGGGCAATTGTGAAGATTAAACAATGTCTTTAACACTCCTCTTTATTATGACATAATATTGAGAGTTGGCGTACTTTTAGCTTTCTTCCTAGGATATTTTTAAATAGTTTCAGATGCAAAATAGGAAAGCAAAAAAAAGGAAAAGCAATGCATGCATGTAAATTAGTTTTCCCCACTGTTATGTTTTTGCATAAATGTAGGTTCATTTCTTTGCTGGCTCTCCCTTCCAAGGGAGGATAAATGACACACACCTATTCTAACACAACGAAACCCTGAGTCACAGCACCCAACCCTTCTGAACCACTGTTAGTAAACTATTTTTACCCATTTAATTATAAGCTTTCCTTGGGCTGTTTCAGGACAGGCTGATAGAGAAATATAGAGAAATATTTAGATTTATTTTCACCGACCTATATCCCACCCCTTGACTTTGTCTACAAACTTTCTTTTGTATTACCAGCTCCATTTAGAATCAGGTATTATACTCTGTCAAAAATGAGCTATTTTTTTCACTGGCTATGGATATATATTATAAAATAATTAGTTATGACCTAACTATTAACTAAATTACTCACTATTGTTTGTTATGTGAATTCCCTTTCCCTAGAGATGGTCCAAAGCAGTAGTGGTTTTCTCTTAGCTTTGCTATTGGTTTGGAACCAGGAAAACGCACAACTACTGTGCATGCACAGAGCATCCATGATGACATCGGGGCAGGTGGGCGGAGCCTCCTGCCACCACTGCTACTGGGGCGAACCAGCAGAATGACACCTCTGGTCCAAAGTCTATTATCATTTTGAATGTCAGAGTTACAATTAACCCAGGATTCCTTCAAACTTGACAACTTTAATATGTGGGGACTTCTGGAATTCCTCAGCTGATTTAAACATATCATGACTGTTTCAAGAAACAGGATTGGAATGGAGTGATTTTCCCAGTTTTGGATAGAATATATACCAAAGGGATTAAATCCTCCCAGGTAAAATACCAAAGATTATTTTTTTAAATGATGGATAATTTAGCACTAATAGATTCATGGAAGCTCTGCTAGAAAATATACTTTTTTTCCAGAATGATATAAATCTTTTTCAAAGATTCTCATGATATGGATTTCTGAAAAATTTACAAATACAATTCTAAAAGTTAATATTTTACCTAAATCTTTTTTGATCCCAATCCAGTTCATCTTTTTTTTTTAAAGTCTGAGATGGAGATTAAATGAAACTGTTTTACAAAGGAAATAATTGTAAATCACTGTAAAAAAGAAATTAAATGAATACTTCGATAATAATCTGGGCAAAGGAACAAATTTAATGACTGACTGGGATGTTAGCAAAGCAGTTATAAAGTATTATGTGATACAAGACAATTGCCTAGAGAAGAAAAAATCCCAGGAAAAGATGCAAAAAATATTGGATTAAATTAAACAGAAAGAAATTGTACCGTATCTTTCAAAAATCCTGGAGTACCTGGGAAGTATCTGAGGATTGGAAAAGGGCTGATGTGGTTCCCATCTTCAAGAAAGGGGGTGGGGAGCAGACCCCTACAGACCATTCAGACTAAAATTAATACCCGAGAAGATTCTGTAAAAGATAATAAAAAAACAGATCTGTGAACAACTAATAGCAAATGAATTTGTAACTAGTAGCCAGCATGGGTTTTTAAAAAAACAGATGCCAAACCAATTTTATTTAATTTAATTAAATAAATTCTTTGATAAGTCACTAAATTAGAAGACCAGTGAAATGTTGTGAACAGTATATTTATATACTTATATAAATAAGTATAATATACAGTATACTTATATTTCAGTAAGGTATTTGACAAAGTAGACCACAACCTACTTCTTGGTAAGCTAGAAAAATGTGGAATAGACAACATCACCACCAGATGGATTTGTAGCTTGCTGACAAACCATACTCAACTAGTAGTCCTTAATAGTACTACATCCAAATAGAGAAAAGTAGGTAGTGGGGTACATGAGGGAATAGAGGGGGAACTCATCAAATTTGCAGATGACACTAAACTCGCAGGAATAGCCAACATCCCAGAAGACAAGCTCAGGATCCAAAAAGATCTTGACAAACTTGAACAATGGGCCCTATCCAATGAAATGAATTTCAACGTAGAGAAAAGCAAAGTTTTATATTTAGGCAGGAAAAATCAAACTATAAGTATAGATTAGGCAAGACCTGGCTCGAAAACAGAAACGGTGAGAGGGTTAGGGTTAGTCCTAATCCTAATGGATAATCACTTGTATATGACCTAGCAGTGTACAACATCAGTCAAAAAAGCTAATATAATCCTGAGTTGTATAAACAGAGGCATAGAATCAAGATCACATGAAATATTAATACTGCTTTATAAAACCCTAGTAAGACCACACCTGGAATACTGCAATCAATCTTGGTCACAGTAATACAAAAAAGATGGTGAGACTTTGGAAAAAGTTCAAAGAAGAGCAACTCAGATGATCAAAGACCTGGAAACTAGAACATATGAAGAATAGCTGTAGGGTTTGGGTTTGGCTAGTCTAAAGAAAAGAAGAATTAGGGGTGACATGATAGCAGTATTCCAGTATTTGAGGGCTGCCACAAAGAAGAGTGGGTCAAATTATTCTCTAAAGTACCAGAGGGCAGGACAAGAAACAATGGCTGGAAATCAATCAAAGAGACAAGGAACCTGGAATTAAGGAGAAACTTCCTAACAGTGAGGACAATTAACCAGTAGAACAATTTGCCTCCAGAAATCATGGGCGTTCCATCATTGGATGTTTTTAAGAAGAGT